AATCAAATTACAAATACATAGGAGAAAGAAAGGAATTTAAGCACAAATTAAAATGAGAATAAACAATGATAATGGTCGTGGGCAATCATAGCGATGATAGTAGTAATGGTGATGATCGTGGGGGTGGGATGGTAGGTGGTAGGGATGATGGTTGGACAGTGGTGGTGGTGGTGGGAGTGCTGGTGACGATGGTGATGGTTGGTAGTGGGATGGTGGTGGTTGGGCGATAAAAGGTGGTGGTGGTGTGCTAGTGGTGGGGGTAGTGGGGGAATGGTATGGTGGCGACAGCTATGGTGGTGAGGGTGGTAGTGAGGCGGTGGATAGGGTAGTGGTGATGGTAGTGATAATGGCGGTGGGGCGATGGGGGATGGGGATGATGGTGATAGTAGTGGTTCAAAATACTATTTTTTTTAAAAAAAAAATATTTATGAGAAATTATAAGTATTAAAAACACTTTAAAAAAGTTATCTCAAACACAACCGTAGAGCTTTATTTTCCCTATTAAATTTGGAGTATTAACATTAGTCTTTGGATTAACTTTAAAATAAAATTTAAAGATATCTCAACCGCAAATAACAAAAGTCATTTTGTTTATTTTTTGAAATTTGAATTGTATTGTACTTTAATATATAGATATAAGGTAAATTACACCAATAGTTCCTGAGGTTTGCCACTTGTTACACTTTCATCCTTAAAGTTCTAATTTTGTCAATTTCGCCCTCCGTGTTAACATATTAACTCACTTTGGTCCTTATCTCAAACTGTCGTCCAAATAATAGACGGAAAATATCATGTGCTTGGCATATGAGAGTATTAAGGGACATTTTTTGTATTTTATAATTATTTATGCATCCAAACACAGTTATCCTTGAACCAAAACACTCACCTTCTTCTTTCTTTCTTTTTTTCTCCTCTTTCCCTCACACACGCATAAATCCTTATCCCAAACTACAATCCAACTAATAGACGAAAAATATCATGTGCTTGGCACAAAAGAGTATTAAAGGACATTTTTGGTATTTTACAACTATTTATGCATCCAAACACAATTATACTTGAACCAAAACACTCACCTTCTTCTTCCTTTCTTTTTTTCTCTTCTCTCTCCCTCACACACGCATAAATCCTTATCTCAAACTGCCGTCCAAATAATAGACAAAAAATATCATGTGCTTGGCACATGAGAGTATTAAGAAACATTTTTGATATTTTACAACTATTTATGCATCCAAACACAATTATCCTTGAACCAAAACACTCACCTTCTTCTTCCTTTCTTTTTTTCTCTTCTCTCTCCCTCACACACAGACATCTTTTTTTCTCTCTCTCTCTGTACTACGTCTCGACCCCAAACCCAACACATCTCCCTCTCTCTTCTCTCCTATCTCGTTACTGAATCTCCGTCCTCAAACCCAACACATCTCCCTCTCTCCTCTCTCATTACTACGTCTCCACCCCCCCAAATCCAACACATCTGTCCCTCGAAAACCCTAACACAAACACAACACAAAACCATAAATACACACCCACGTGGATTCATAACTTGATTTTCCAAGACCTCCATGGGCAATCAAGCCCCAATTCTTTCCAAACTCACAATCTCGACTTTGATCTATAAATTTTGGAGAGTTGTAACGGGCGATGCTTTTGAGCTCTGCGAGAGAAAGAGATTGTTAATTGTGGTTAGGGTTTATACCCCTGTTTGTCTTGCACTGAATAGAGGGAGAGAGAGAGAGAGAGAGTGGTTGAACTAAAGTCGAAGTCGATTTTGTCTAATAAGAGATGCTCGATTTGGCTTGTTGAGAGAACTTGAATTGCCTCTGTGTCAAGACTTTGAGGAGACGATACTCCAAAGCTCTTCCACTTTGCCCCAACTCTCAAAACATAACCACTATGTTTTTTTCTCTCTCTCCAATTTTATTCCTATGCACTGAACACACAACACCCATAACCACTATGGGTCTTCGTCAGTGTTGTTGGGTCCCATTAGGAAAGGGTGTGGCTGCCGGTGTATGGCCTTTGTCTGCGTTGTTGGGTCTTGTGTGGGGTGTTGTGGTGTGAATTTTGTTACTGGTAGTAAGTTGGGTAGTTTCCCTGTGGGTGTTTTGCAGTGTGTACAATGCATAGGAAGAGAGAGAAACATGTGATTGTTGTGCAAAGAGAGAAAAAAGAAGAACAAGTGTGGGGGAAAAAAAGAAGTGTGTATGGTGCCCACCACCACTGGCGATCTCCATCCTTCTAATAGCAGGGTTTTGTGTTGTTTAGAGAGAGAGACAGAGAAGTTGGGTGTTGTGCATTGTTTAGAAAGAAAAAGAACGGGGGGAAAGAGTGTGTTTGTGTTTGGATATGGGGGTGTGTTGGATAATGACACAATTATCCTCAACAATCATGTGCCTAACATGTGCTAATTTTTCGTTTATTATTTGAACGGCAATTAGAGGTAAAGATTAAAAGTGAGCCAATGTATTAACATGGAGGACGAAATTGACGAAATTAGAGCTTTAGGGATGAAAGTGTAAGAAGTGGAAAACCTCAAAGACCATTGGTACAATTTACCCTAAAATATATGTGTACATCTGTATTTTGCATAAGCTTGACTACAACTTGATTCTTGAGATAATGTTTTGGGGATTTCTTAGGGATGTCCATTAGCTCTACTACTGCAACAGGTGTTAAGCAGTTCAAAACATTCGAATTTTGGTACACTCAAAATTTGATTATCGCTAGTTAAAAAAAATTGATTATTGAGTATAAATTCTTGTTCATATTTTGCTATGTTTGTAACTTATATAATCAAGTTTTACTTAACTCGGCTCATTTTTGTACTGTGAGTTTGAATTCAAATTCAATCTTGGGTATCAAAAATCACATATTGCAAGGAGACTCAATCCTATAATCTACTAATTAAAAGTGAGATGTTCTATTCATAGAGTTAAAAGTATTATTTTGCTATTTTTCAGCACTGACAATATTTACATATTGAGTTATAAAAGAATCGAATTCGAGTCCATTGAGCCAAACAGCCCATTATTTGAATTTGGCTTGAATATTAAATGGGATCAATTCATTTGACAGGTAAATAATAAAGTGTGAGAATGGAAAGGACATTACTTCTCATATTTAGTATGTGGTAAGAGAAATTCAATTGCATCATCATTGAATGTCTAATTTCATCCATGTTGGATTTGTTATTCCTTAGTATGAGATAGCATTTCTCATTATCTACTATCACTACTCAACGTCACTATCATTAGTGACCACCACCTCACCTCCATCTTTACTTGGAGCTTGTTTGGATGAATTTTTGGAAAAATTTTGGATTAGTTTTTTCAAATTCTTCCAAACTCAAACCCTTCTTTACAAAGATGATATTNCCTTTTAGGTTTGACAAAACTTATGATATATTTGGGTCAACTAAGGGCCAAGTTTGAAAATCCACAATTGAATTTTCAATTCAAATATAAGATTTGGGAGTCATTTGAACTATTTTTTTCAAACTCATCTTGTCAAGCGCCTCATACCCCCTTACCAAACATCCCCCTAAGGTTAGGGCTATAGATCAAGTCCAAGCCCAGGTCCAAGTTTGCTTCATGTGTTCGAGTTTAGTGTTAGATCTTGTCCTGTTCTGAGGTGTGGGTCAATGATTCGGGTTCTAGGTCGAGGCCTAGTCCGGTCGAATATTTTGATTACATTTAATTTAATTTTTTAAAAAAATTAATTTATTCAAATATTTGAATGAGATTTCAATTCTATTCCAATATTTAATTTTAATTATTGTCAAGCATTAAAATAGTCAAGTACATTTCATTCTATTTTATTTCTTAGTTCATTTCATTTCGAGATTAATTTTTCATTCTCAACGCAAAAGTATTATTGCCTACCAGACATAAACATTCGATCATATTGAATTTATAGTGCTATATATCCCAAATCAAGGAGGATTATTAGATCAGTGAGTCCCATCAATTTTTTTAAAAAAAACTCACTGATCCAATTATCCTCCTTAATTTGCGATATAAATTTAAGTTACAAATTTAAAATATATATCATTACTCTTATTTTTATATGAACAAGCTTTAACAAGAAAAAAAATAACTAAACTGAAACTGAACTCAAGCGCCTTTTGATTTGTAAAGCTCTAATTTCATGGCATAAAATAGAAGGGTCAAACACACATTCTCCAAGTACCACAAGTACAACGGCAACTGGTCACAAGCAACCAAAAAACAAAAGATGATGAAAAAAGTGCAACTGGTCTCTTTTGCTCAGCCATGGACAGTTTTGTCCTAAACATCCAATGAACAGCCACAATTTGTGACCATTGGCATATCACCAAGCAAGGACTTCTATAAGACCAATGCCGACTTTCTTATTCCCAACAACTTGCCCATACTTGTTGACCAGGAGAGACACGNCAACTGGTCTCTTTTGCTCAGCCATGGACAGTTTTGTCCTAAACATCCAATGAACAGCCACAATTTGTGACCATTGGCATATCACCAAGCAAGGACTTCTATAAGACCAATGCCGACTTTCTTATTCCCAACAACTTGCCCATACTTGTTGACCAGGAGAGACACGGGATCAATGTCAATATCATGTGGACCTGAAATAAATGATATATTTTTGATTGAATCGAAAAAAAAAATCAATCAAACCGTGAATAAACTAACTTAAACCCCCGAATTCCTAACCCATGAACTAAAAAAACAACTTTCAGGGGTGTCAAACAGGGCATGGACTCAAAAGTAAAAAAACCAAAACGTTAATGCTACTCTTTGACTTTTTGCTTCTAAACCAATTCATTTACGACATTCTACTTAGTTTGTACCTTTGCTTAATCAACCAAGTATTCTATTAACTTGGAAGCAACCTCATAAAAACAATTCATTTAAGACAAGCAAACTTAAAAATATCAGCAATGAAGAATCATCATGGGCAAGAAATTATAGTCTCAGCAATGACTGAAAAACTAGTAATCAACACTTAACCCAAAAAAAAAACCCAAATTATGGATAATTCAGGGGGAAAATTGGGTTTTCCACTGCAAAATATAGAACAACACACATTACATTATACTTTCTGTTTTCCCCAAAACATTTGAAAGGGAAAAATGGGGAAAATACTAAATCTCCTAACATATCAGAGGTTCTTTTTCTTTTCTTTTCTTTTTTTATTTCCCTTCTTGTTTTGAACTAACCAAAAATCAGAGCTTGTCTAGAGAAAAATTACAAGAAGTGGACACCAAGCCTCTGTGGCCAACAAATGAGATAATCAAAGCTACCTATACAAGGCATCCTAGTAGAGAAAACCTTAGTCCTGGCAGATTGAGAGACGATTTGGTTAAATTAAGCTTGAAAATGAGGATGTCAACATGTAAGGAATGTTGGCCAGGGGTCCTCGTTGGCAAGCGAGTTCATGAATGTCCTTCACAATGTTGAAAACTGCATCTGGTTGTGCTAGTTTGAGTGCATTCTCCGACATTCTCCTGAGTTCATCTGTTTTCGTGCTGAACCATTCGGCCACTAATCTAGCTGTCTCCTTGGCACTTCGGGTGAAGACTCCTGCCCCATTGTCCACAACATAAGGAACATTTCCCTTTTCCTGTGAATCCCAAATTAAGGAAAACTCAGTTACAAAGTTAAAGCTGTCTTGCAAGAAAATATGTAACATATCCAATTATGTTATAACAGTAAATGAGGAATCAGAAGTTCGTATTTTCTTACTTGTCCAGGAATGAAGTCGTTCAGAATAATTGGAAGCCCTCGGATCAATGCTTCAGCAATTGTACCAGGTCCCGCCTACAAAATCCAGAAAACCAAGAAGCCATTATTCCAAGAAACTTGATAATCATGTTCAGAAATATGAATGCAATCACAAGCACCTATTNATCCAGAAAACCAAGAAGCCATTATTCCAAGAAACTTGATAATCATGTTCAGAAATACGAATGCAATCACAAGCACTTATCAATCAACACTGATAATAGCATATAGGCCAAGAGGGGAGCCATCAAGATAGGAATGTCGTGACATACTTTCGTAATAATACAGTCACAAGCACCCATCCACTTCTCCATCTGCTTCTCGAACCCTCTAATCTACAATGAAGAACACAAAATTTAACATAGCTGTCATCTATAGAATGTGGCCCGAATCATGTAAAAGCACAATTCAGGATGCACTCATTTATTTGTTCAAAGAAGCACATGTGATTACCTTAACCGGGATCTTCCATTCAAGTGATTCTAGAGTAGCGGCCAAGGCGTTATTACGACCACATATGATGATCAATTGCCCAATAGGTTTTTCAAGTTCTTTGTCATATAGAGATTCCCCAAGAGCCTTTGCAGTTTTCTTCACAGGGCCCATGCCTTCACCACCTCCCATCAGTAAAACTGCTGGTAATGTTGGATCCATCTCAAGTTCTACTCTTAAATCATCCTACAATCAGATTAACCACCCATCCACTTCATGAAAATTATGAACTTGAAAATAAGATACAAACTGAACTTCTGCTAAAGTTAATGGCAAAACATTCACCTTGGAGAGAACCGCACGGCAAAAAGAGGGCCGGATAGGCAAGCCAAAAACACGTGCTTGAGATTCTTCCAGGCCATCTAGCAAAGCCCTCTTTGCTACCTCCTCCGAAGGGCAGTAGCAACGATTAACTCCAGGGTTAAACCTAGATATATATATATATATGATTCACAAGTTAAAATGTGATATAAGTAAAGATTAATGGGAATAGATGAAATGAAGTTGCAGGATGAGTTTAGTAACTGACCAGGTGCGATGGCAGGTATTGAGGTCTGTAATGACTGTCACAAAAATTACTTTCTTCTGCAAGCCTTGCCATTTTAGAACCCACAAAGGGATATGTTGCATAAGAGGATGGACACTGATGATAATATCGGGCTTGTACTCCATTAGACCAGCCTCAACCTCTCTTCAGCCAAACAATGTAACCAATATCAGAAACCTTCAAAAACACTAACATGTCCGCCTAGAATTGACTTCTTCTTTTACCACATAAATTAAACAAATAAACTTTCTCACAGCAATAATTGAGTTTCGTGTGCATAGGAAGCAACCAATCAGCAGTCATATTTAACTTCAAACCAATTGATTAAGTGACAAGTGTAAAATGAAAGCATCATTTTAAAAGAAAACCAAAATCAAAGACAAAAGTGAAATTCATAAAGAATACTGAAGGCGTTAGAATACACATTGTTTTATGGTATCATAGATATTTTACTACATCATAGTGGTGACCAAACTGAAGTATCGAAGCATATAAATGAAGGTCATATTAAGTAATGACAACTTGCTGGCCTAAACAGTATTAAAAATATCTGAGAGTTTAGCCTGAATGTGATATAGGAAGAAAAAAAATATACTTGGCATAGAAGGCAGCAATGGCAGCAAGATAGACAGAGTGTATCCATCGAGGAGAAGTACTGTGAAATGTGAGATTCCAAAGCTGTACATGTTTAACCATAAACTTATACTGCCGCTCCATATCATTCAACGGCCAGCCGGTGTACTCCTTCCAAACATCCTTGACAAAAATCTGCAAACAAAAGACAACACATTGAAAAAGGAATAAAAGCAATGCACTACAGTCTACATTAGGACCATCAAAACCTTGTAACCTATTACTATCAAAAACTTCTCATGACAATGATACCATGACACATAAGGTAGACCAAAGATGGAGATACATATTTAACAATATATGAAAATTCAAAAATTCATCATTACTTAAGATTTCAAGGAAAAGAAAAATAATAATGGACGATGGAAAAGCCAAAGCCATCAATTATGGAGAAATTTCGAGGAAACCGTCAAACAAGATAATAGCATCATACCACTTCATCTTTTAGAGAGCCATCAATTATGGAGAAATTTCGGGGAAACCGTCAAACAAGATAATAGCATCATACCACTTCATCTTTTCTCAAAAAGCAAAACAGTTGATTTCTGTTTGTCATTTGTAAAGAAATCAAAAGGACAGAAAATTGGAAACAGAGAGGATCTTAACAAAGCAAAGAGTACTATGATACATTAGGAACAGAATAACACCCATAAGGGCCATATCATCATGAGAAAGAGAAAGAAGGAAGAAGGAAGAAACTATGGGTCACATAATAAAAAAAATTGCATAAAATGCCCAATAATCTGATCCCTAATTGTAACACCAAAGATCAAAAATACAAACTCAGACGACAAACATTCTATAATTAACTTAGAATGCAATCATACAAAAGCAGAGCACAAAATACCCTTGATTAATAAAAAATTACAAGATCCAGAAAGGACACTATTCTCTCTTCCTGAGCATTGATGGTTTGATGTCTTGGGTGCTTTCATGGGTGTTTTAGATTAAGTCTATCCTTTTAGGAAATACCCCCAAATTCCAATCTTCACACATCACAATTGGCCCAAGAAGAAGCTCTATGACCACAAAACACTGGCATAGAACACTCAAACATCGAAATCAAATGAACATAACAGAAAGTACTCTGCTTTATCTATGCCTATAAACACAAGCACAACAAGTATATATGCCTTTACTCAGAATTCAAGCAAATAGAAAACCTGAAGAGGGAGAAGGCAAAATCAATTCAATTACCCTGTATTCATCCCCAAATTCCAATTTGAATGCATCACGAATCGCCTCAGCCGAAGCTCGATGACCACCACCAGTATCACTCATCAAGATCAGCACATTCTTGGTCCTCTCAGCACCAATCTGCACCATTTCCATGGTGTCATCTTCATCCTGAATATCATACTTGCATCTCTTCTGGCTGCTCCCTCCTCCAAAACCATATACCCCAACTCTCTGAAAGACATTATTTATTGATTTCCTTGGCGACTCCACCTTCATCACCATACCTATATCTACAATCCAAACAATTCTCTGTATACAGATAGATATGTTATTGAATATATCTAACTGCAACCCACCAAAAAATTACAAACCCAGGAAGATCCTGCAATTTGATTCCTCATCAACCACTGACAAATGAGTTTCCCGGAAGGAGAGAGAAAGTTAATAAAGGAAAAGGCAGGGACTTGTGGACAGAGATATAAGCCTCAATGAATGAATCTAAGACCTAACCACCAAAAGAAACAAAAAAACAGAGACCAAGGAATTGACTTCTCCCACGACCACGGAAAATGGGTGAAGTTGAGGAAAGAAGATGCAGAAACTTGTAAGGAAAGGTCCCCAAATATAAATAATGATGAAGAAGCTTATAAATGTATTTAACACCCACCCATCAAACGAATTCAAAAAACCAAGACCTGACCTCCCCTATAGCCACCGGAAAATAGGTTTTCCGGCGGGAGAGGAAGCTGAGGGAGCAGAACGAGATGTAGAGAGAGAGACACACACACAGGATGGGCTGGCAAAATCGCCGAAATGATTGGCTTATGTGTGCAGCGTCGTTGTTAAGAGGGGAG